AATATCATTAATATTTTCGCCAGAATTTTCGCCGGAGTGAAACTTAAATTATAGCAAATTCAGATCACTTAGACTACGCTAGATCAATGCACATTAAACGTTGCTATACATTAATTAAGCAATTAGCAAAGTAAAATATGAAAGTATATAAATATTTTAAACGATTAACTATCTACTAATGATATTGTCACATTATTTAACGAATATGTACATGTATAATTTTATTGTCAAAGATGATTATATTGTATCATTGCATTGAGATCTTTTACATAAAGCACTGATTTTTTTTTTAATATGCACTGATCCAGTGCGAGTGATCGAATTCATCATTAGAGATCGTCAATTTTTCGCGCGAAGTTGCACGATTTGAAAAGTTCACTTATACATTAACGCCCTCGGCAAATAATGCGTCCAAATCGTGAAGCTGTTAGTCAATCAGAGCTGATGGTAACTTGATGCTAATCCTAAGTACTTCATACTAGTTAGAATTTCAGGAGCACATTTTAATTAGAAGTGATATTGCTAATCCGTATTTAAATTATTATCCACTATACATTACATTATTTAAAGTCATACATTTTATTAAAATTTGTGAAAACTTATACAGTATAAACTTTAAATCCTTGTAAAAATTCATACATCTCGTTTTTGCAATTAACTTTGAAATAATTTCAGAAATGCGTATATAATTGCTAGAATTGCATGATTACAAATTATAGTTAAAAAATTAAAAATAATTGTTATACAATCGAAGCTAATTATTTTGTATTCGCATAAATAATCAAAAATATCGAATTTTAATGTTCTTTATTAAAAGAAATATATACAGACGTATCTGTAATTAAAAGAATAAAGAGAATTATTCCACATCTTCTTCATCGTCATCTTCTTGACTATTAATTTGGAAGTATCGTAACTCGTATGTTTCCTTGTCTTTCGATACTACTCGCAACCAATCACGCAATTTATTTTTCTTCAAGTATTTCTTTGTCAAGTACTTGAGATATCTATAAAAACAATGTTTTCCAAATTAGTGCAAATATCGCTCTTCCTGTAGCTTATAATAGTAAAAAATAAGCCAATATTCAATTCTTATTTTAAAACTATCATCTTAAGATGACACGAACCAACTAGAGGGATATATTAAGATATTTTTTAAGACAATACTGAAATAATAATAATGGACTGATTATTGGCCTTAATATTGTTTAATATCATAAGGTTTTATCTACTTAATGAAGACAAGATGACATAAATATCATTTTCTCTTTGTTCCTCATTAAATGCCAAGATAAAATGATATTTGTCGACTTGTATCATTAGAATCACAGATATTTAGTTATTCTTATGGGCTTTCTATAATAAGTCATTACCTAAGCTTGAAGTCTTAAGCTATAAGAAATTGTGATTAATTATAGTCGATTATTATTCTTACATTCGACTATGATTGATCAATTTCTTATAGCTTAGAATTTAAAGCTTAAGATTTACTCATTATAGATTAACAACACTTAAGTTGATCACAGAGATGTATCAGCATCTTAAGACATTACTTAAAATGGTTTTAAATTAAGGATAGATTATCAATACCAGTCTAAATGGTAAGCACCTATAAGCCAGTATTCATAGTCTATTCCTATTTAAAGATTGTCTTAAGTAATATCTTAAGATGCTAATTCAATTTTGTGATTGATTCACGACATGTTAAAACTATATTTAAGATGGTTTACATGAACTGACTATGAATATCAATTTTATCCATAATGTTCTACAATTGTTACAATCATAGTAAAACGATATTACTCACCGCTTCGAGAAGTCGACATCACTGTTGACAGTGAGTTTCATTTTGTTACGTTCCAAGGCAACATTGTTGCCAAAGTTATTAGTTTTACCACTAACCTTGATTTTTTCTTGTAAATACTTTTCCTAAAAAGAGAAAAAAATCACCATCTTATAATAATCAGTCTCAACGATATAGTATTAAAACTTAGGCATCACGCAATTCAAAATAAATCAATGTTGGAATTTTTCATCACGTAGAGGTTAGGAATCCGCGAGAAATAGGTTAGGTCTCTATTTTAATTAAACAAACAATTTCGAGCAAAATTCTCACAGATGGGAAAAGAAAGTATTAGGAATACAATCTGAAATAATTAAGAACAATAATTTAACTTACAAAATTGGTAACATCCATAATATTATCCTCCACAGGATGCGTGCAATCGATCGTGAACCTCAGGGATACCTTTTTCTTCTGTCCCTTGCCCCGAAGCACCTGCTTCTTAATCGGGCCTTTAGTTTTCTTTGTCGGCTAAAAATTTGCGAAAATAATCTGTTTAATGATAATGTTGCCATTATTTTTTATGGACACGTGGAAAATCGTCTAAGACGGCGGAACAAGAACGTATGATAGGACACGTATGAATCGGACTAGATTGAAACGATCTTAACATAAAACAATAAGCCACCGTGTCGCGATCGACAATTTGGACACGTACTTTCCGTACGTGATGTTATTTTCACGAAATTCTGCCATAATTACGAATAATCGTCGTATTTTTGCGAGAACGACAACTTACCGGAGCCATGTTCACGTGTGTCTAACGAATGAAAGAACGCGAGAAAATTGATCCTCATATGGCGCTACAATCGTTTACGCGGGAGCATTTAATTATTAACTATAGTTCACGTGACACGTACACTATAGACTTTCACTATATTTTATATATATATATACTGAAAGTTTGCTAAAAAAAAAATATATATATATATACACAATGATATATCTGAAAATTCTATTTATAACTCCAACGCACATTTTGAACGTATATCTACTGATATTTTTTGCGTTAAATTCGTTCATTTTTATTGTAATATCTTTCTCAGTGGCTTTCAAAATTAAACCTAGCCACTGTAGCTGAATATAACTCTTCGATCAACAGATACGATAATACATCGCAAAACATATCCATAACAGCTGTACTGAAATGCCATTAATATTAATGTTTTCAAAAATAAGATAAAGACTTAATTATACCTTGAGAAGATAGGTATTCTTTGAGACTTTGTAGGTATGTCTTTAATATTATAAATTTAATGAAATCTTAATGATAGGATAAGTAAAAAGAAATGGCGTACGGTATATTCTAAAATGCAAATTAAATTGTTTTGTTCGTATCTGCTTCTTATTTCCTTTATATTGATCTCGAGAAAAGCATGTCTTTGAATGTTCATCGGATATTAGTAAAGCTTCTAGTAATTGTTTGATAATCTGATGATTCTAAATTTAAAAGACAAAGCAAACAATAATGAAATAGTAAGTTAGAATGTGTTGTGTATATTATTGATTATTAAAAAAAATTTAATTCTTCCATATATCAATAAAGAATGTATTGTAATTGTTCTCCTAAAAGATTGTTGTATTTCTCATGCCTCTGACAATCGAAATCGCGTATATTGTTGATCAGTATTTTTTTCATCTCACCTATATTCCTTCTCATTGATCCATCCTTTGATTTGATAGGTGTGTCTAGATATTCAATTCGATGACGTTCATCATTTCTATTCATTCCACCTTTTCCATTATATGTCAAGAATTGAGAAAATCAAAATAGAAATTAGGTCAGTCGGTATAATATGATTCGATCGAAGATCTCCCAATAAGATATTGGTTTGATCGTTTTCTTACTTTGATTCCGGTAGACAATTAATACAATTTTAATCAGCTCTGATCAATACTTATTTTTTTCGTCATGGCACCTGCCTTCAAACGAAAATCAATACGGCAGTAACTTGTGAATATTGTAAGCAAAGATCATAGATGTTTACTTACTTGCGTTGTTCTCAGTGATCTAGAAAGCTAATGTGCCGATCTGTTCTTACATTTAATGTTGTTTAAATATAATCTTAACATATCATAAATCGATATCTGAGCCTTATTAGCGTTTTAACATATTTAAAACGGGTGAAATATATAAAAACAAACTATAAAATTTCAATCGAGTAAGAAAATTCTTGACTTGAGGAGGGGAGGGGGGGGGGAGATGAATTTAATCGATATTGTTCTCTTTTTTGTTGCAAATCATGGTGTGAAACATGATTGGTGATGATAAGTACAATTTAGGACATGGTTTTTTTCTCACGGAAATTAATATATCTTTGAAATCAGTGCGATTTATTTTTTATATAGATTTTTATATGTTAACGTAGATCTTTGCACAAATTAAATCGAGTGAGGGATGAAGTATATCCTTCTTTAAAAAAAGTTTTTTATTTACTCTCCGATTTTATTAACAAAACGTTCCAAACTACATTCATTATTATAATAATAAACTACTGTGCGCAGGAAAAATATAGAAGCAATGAGTATGAAGAGTTATATGAAAAGCTGTGTAATAACTTATTGTATTATTGCTGTTATGCATAAATTAGTATTAAAGAAGTTTATGCATTTAAGCAACTTGAGGAGCACGCTGTCATTATCGGATTCTTCTTTTTTTCATTTTGGGAAAACTAAGAAAGAAAAATTAGTGAAATTAAGGGGCCTATTTTATAACTTTTAAAAACTGTAACTGTAGCGTTGTTTTTTATCATATACAAAACCTGCGCAACGACACTGTAACGCTACAGTTACAGTTAAGTAATATGTCGTTAAGAGTTACAAAATATTTTCTTTATTTACTAAATTTGAAAGTCATGGTTAAAGTCTTAATATGCGAAAAAAAACAATTTTTGAACACGTTTTAATTGAAGAAAATAATAATTATTTTTATCGAATCATAATAATTTTTCTATTTTTATAAAAATTATTTTTTGTTTATTAAAACCGCAATCATTATTAAAGTCGTGATTCTTACTTGCTATATAGAATCAGCAAGCAAAATTGAGAAAAAAAAATTTTTCCCTTATTATTATATTATAAAGAATTACAATTTATAATTTTATTTTTTTATATTATTATTGTGTAAAAATATCATTTATTCTGTACTCTAAGTCGATTATCCCTCAGTTACTGGATAAACAAAAAGTTTTTTCTGGTATTCTTCTACTTTAATAATATAATTTTCTTCAATGTTCTTATGTTGATGTTCGTCGATTATGTATTCCAAAGCAATGGACTGCGCTTCAGCGGAATCACTTCCTATAACATGTATACTCAATTTTTTCACATAATTTTCATTCCACGTGTACTTATCAAACCATTCTCTTAGTTCGTTTAATTTTATATTGTTTAATGCAAGTATTTCTCTCTCGTATCTGTCAAATATGTATTGACACTTTATGATCTCATTCCAATTTCTATTAATTTCTTCTTCAATATTCATATCAGCATGTTGCTTAAATATTCTTAATCTTTCCTTAACATCATCTAAGTCATTTTCTGACAATTCATCCAAAAAGTCTTTAAAATATTCCAGAAATCTATCGATCCACTCCTTAATAAGTTCAGTTGTGTATGATTTATTTGGCAATGATTGAATGACACTAATAGAATATGTTAAAATTCCATCGACATCTGTATAGTTGCATGAAGTATGTTGTATAAGATCATTTTGGATTGATTGAAATTTCAGTGACAATTGTTTTTCCATTATCATCTGAAAAAATGTGCGGATGAATATAATTTGGGGATAAAATTAATCGCAACAGTCTAAGAAGTTACTCATATTTCATTTACTTTTAAAAATAAATGAATAAATGAATAAACCTAAAATTCCATACAAAAACAAATGTTATTTAATACTTACGATTATTAGTTTCATTAACACTGATAACTCAATTGACGTGATATCTATTTGATAAGTATCTATCACAATGGAAGTTGGATCACATTTGTTGATATTTTTTAATTTGTAATAACTTGTGCCCAAGGGTATCTGAAAGACTCTATTCGGTTGCATCATACTAGAATGTAAAGAGTCACATTTTAATGCTTCAAAACATTGTTGCATAGATTCGATCGCAGCATCCTGCGTTATATTGCCTTGTATGAGATGCTGAATGTATAGACGATTTGTAAAACATTTTGCAAAATTTTGGAATTCTTCAAAACTGACATTTCGTAGAGCATTGTGCATATCGACGTATGTATAATGGACTAACTTTTGTATCCATAATCTCACATCCCTGCAAAAATGATTAAAGATATTCATTATTGTCTAATTGGCAAAAAATATAACATGTATTATAATGTATTGTACAAAATTTATTCTTTATTTAATATCTATTAATAGTTTCTTTCAGTTATGTAAGAATTTCATAATATTGTTGCAATTATTTGACAATAAATAGCCAGTACTCAGCGAGTTTCTCAGGTTCAGTAATTATGTCACTATAGATATCAACTTGTTGATCTCTGATTGTTTCAAACATTTCCTTCTTAACATTCGGATATATCATGTATTTTATGATATTTAACAACAATACCTGCAATATAAATACAATAAAAATAATATACTTCAAAACTATGTAACTTTGACGCATGCTTTGAACATGTACTTACGATTGGCATAGATCCGGATATTTTTGTTATAATTCCTTTCTCACTAACACTGATGTCATAGCTGTGTCCACCCGCTACAACTGAATATAATTCTTCCACCACTAGCAGTTTTATTATGTTGCAGTACACTGTCATGAGAGCGGCACTGAAATATTAACAAGAGAAGTTTTTTAAAAATAAAAGATGCAAATAAAAAATTATGGAAGTCGTATTAATAATTCCAACTTCGAAATTAATGTATTTAGAATAAGTAATACTACACAATGTAGTATTATATTATAATACATTATGCTACATTACTTACTTCTCCGGTGACTGAAGTCCTACGGAGGAAATAAAATGTGTATATATATGTGATATTGGCAAACGAAACTTAGGATCTGGGCGATACCAAAGCTCTGATATACTATCATTATACAATTTTACAGGATATTTTGGAACTTTTGCTGGCAATGGTTCTAAAAAATATTGAACACCAAGATAAGGATTCACATTTTTTGGCAAATGAAAATCTGGCAAAGGTTCGATGGATTTCCAGTGTTCGAGCCATTCCTGTGATATCTCGCTGTCTGTATACGATACTCTCGACCATGAATTGACTTTATCTAATTCCAGATAGTCAAAGTTTTTGTCGAAAATCATAATATTCGCAGTCTCTGGCGTCAAATAATTCAAAATATTTGTTATAGTTTTTGGATCATATTCAAAATAAATCTTGCTTCCAGTTAGATAATCGCGCGATGGGTACTGATACAAATGTATACATAAATTGCTCACATTATCCCTTGGATCCTTTTCCTCAGAATATCTAAAATAATCTCGTATAAAGTATACGTTTTTCGCGAATATTTTATTTTTTCAATTTTGTTTCATATATCTATTTATTTCTAAAATTAGTTTACCTAAAACTATTTTCTGCAGTCTTACTAAAGTCATCATAAATGTTTTTTTGTGGACCTTTCTGCTTTAACATATTAATATAGGAAAATATTGTATCTAGAACCTCCTTTACATGTCGTTTTCCTTCAATGGAGAAATCTATATCAATCTTGAGTAAGCTGTACGCGGTAGTATGTACATTGTAACAAATTTCCTCATTGGAAACACTAACATTCCACATTTTTTTGCGTAGATAACTCATTAGGGAACCTTTTTCTTCATTTCCAATAAGCCACGAGATATATTTATATGGTTTACTTTTATATAAAGCATATAGCGGAGGCATGACCCATGCTATTTTTAGCTGCAAAAGTCAAATTTTATTTTACATAATGATGCTTTTACGCATAGTACAAACATAAACTTTTTTTCGACTTGGTTAAATTTTAGTCACATACTTGTCCAACATGTTTCGAAGAAGAAATTTTATACATTTTATGAAAAGCGGCGCTATCAAAAGGAACATTATTTTTTATTAACTTGGTAGAATCATCGGGAGATAGTTTGTTAGTTGGTATATTAACAAAACACGTATCAATTGTGACATATTGTTCCAATGTATTCAGCGGTAATCTTGCCTATAAAAAGTATACCATGTTATAAATTTTAAGCTTGTTTTTGAAATAAATGAATTGTATATTGTAAAAATAATTTATTGTTTGTCGCAATTTTAACAAAATTACCTGTATAACCAGCTTTATTCTGCGAGCACTATAATGGCGCTTTTTGAATTTGTGTAGCTCTTCGTATAATTTTGTGTAATCCAAATTTTCGTACTCTTTTATAATACGATCTTCAATAATCTGGTTGATTGGATGATCAGTTCGCGTAAAGGAAGAAAGCTGTGGTTGAGGAACTCTGTTCTTGGCTAAAGTTAAAGCTGTCTGAAATTCTACATAAATATGATATTTTAAGATTGCAAGTTAAAACAACAGTATTATGAGTATACTCTACCTCCTTTTATGTTGCTTCGGTTCTGCATAAATGCTTCTTTTTCCGGAAAAGGGTTAGTGAAAAATTCAGCAAAATGAATAAGAACTGATAAAAAGTGTTTTTCTTGAATATCAATAACAAACGACAATGTATATTCGTCGTAATCAAATAAGTACTTAAAGCTGCCTCCATGTTTATAAGTAAGTTTTACAATATCATATTTCTGCAAGTAAGATGATTTAAACAATTTAATACACAAATAAATAAATTTTATATCAAATTTATACGTATCATATGTTTAGTACTAGGCAATGTTTTTCGAATTCAGTCATAAGTAAATACTCGAAGAAACATGATATGCCTGAAAATCCTGGTGGCTCTTTGAAAGTTCCTGTTCTCACACATAAGCAACATGCTGCCTATTAAAAAAAATATATTTATGTACGTATCACGCATAATACACGCTGAATAATAAATGGAGAAATAAGCATAATTAATGGAATGACTTGTAAATGATTTAAAATTGAGTAATACATTTTGGAATTAAATAATGAAAAATTCTTTTACAGTTAGTGAAGTTAGTGAAGAAAATCAATTTCTTTAAACCGAACTTTTAATAATACAATTAAATTTTGAAAAGATCAATATCATTTATGAGACCTGTTTTTGATATATTACAATTTTAATAAATTTTAATAATAAAATAAGTAAAAAAATTGGTATAAGATATATGCACATTAAATTATTTCGTACCTTCATTTCATTTTTCATATCTTGATGTTGAGAAGAGCATGTCTTTGAATCTTCATCGGATATTAGCAAAGCTTCTAAACCATTTGGTAATCTGATAGCTCTAAAAATTAAAAGACAAAGCAAACAAAAAATTAATTAAATGAGACGTCAACGAGAATGTTGTGCATATTATTGATTATTTAAAAAAATTTAATTCCTGCATTTATCAATAAAAATATATTATAATGTTTCTTCTAGAAAATTATCGTTACAGTATTTTTCACGCTTATTTCAACTGAAATTGTGCATATTGCAAATCAGTAATTCTTTCGTCTCACCTATATTCCTTCTTGTCATACTCCGATTTGATGGGAGTTTCTAGATATTCTACTTGATCATTCTTATTGTTTCTACCTTTTTGCATTATTTTGGTCGACATAATACGATCCGAAAGAATTCCCAATATTAAGTCGCTTTTGATAGACGATTTTAATCAGCACTCTGATCGATATGGCTTCTTCTTTCGTTATGCCACTTGCTTTCAAACAGAAGTCGATATACGACTAACTTGTGTACATGATAAGCAAAGGTCGTAGATGTTTACTAAATTGTATTATTCCCACTGGTCTGAGAGTCAATGGTCCAGCAAGCCAGTTAATATATTATGTACGCGATCTGTTTTCTACTTCACATCGAGATAAAAAAGCGTATACTCCGATTTAAAGCTATCTGAAATCTAGCCAAACACACATCTGATAATGGTCAGTTGAACGAAACAGAGAGCATATTATTTAGTCTATCTTCTGTTCCTGCACTAAGCTGCTCTAGAACTCTCTTTCTCACTTTCGACAAATATCAAACGTATGTCTATCTCACTTCAAGTTCTAAAAGTGTACACTAGTTCAGCTACAAAAAACAGATCTCTAGTTTAAGTATAATGAAGTTTAAGGGACATATACACCTAGCCTGATCAAAACAAGGCTAAATTTTCGATTTTTTTTTTGTAAAAAAACGGATGAAGACAAAGAAGTCTGATTTGTTCCATTGCAAATATTCTACTTTTTTTTATTTATCATTACAATTTTATTTAAAAATAATTTAAAATAGAATCGCTATTTAAATTTTCATCATGTTTTGTAAAACGGGTGACCATTGCTGCTCGCACAAGACTCGTCTGAAAGCAAAGTGGCACAAGTTTTATGAAACTGAAACATAGATCTTGTGCTTGACATAGCCGTTTTTTAAATATTACATTTGAATAAAATGGCAGCTGGTCAAAGTTACATAACGATTTAAAAAAAAATTTCGTTTGTTTTTGGCTACGAAAAAAATTAAGCATCATAGAAAAAAATCCTACGTCAAGAACTAGTTTTCAGTATGTGCAAAAAGTGTGTAAAATTACAAATCAATTGGTCGAGCCGTCTTCAAGATACAGTGGTCATCCGTTTTGAAAACAGTACGTTTTGAGAAAAACGCGTTTATAGTTTTACTTTCGGCTTATACTTTTCGTTGCTAACGTTTCAACCTTTCCAGTTGCTTTTCCAGACAAGACTGTTATATATACTCAACTAACCATCCGTGTCTTTAAATGCAGCTCTGAAAAATGCTGAAAAATCGAAAAATACAATAAATAGAGGAAGACTCTTTTTTGATGTGTGCGAACTTGAACTGTTTTGTCGCAAGCGCGCCTACCTGTCGCCTTCAACAAGCTTAAGCCTACTCTATAATTTTGTGTGAATTCTTTATTTTTCGCCGGATAAATCTGCAAAAATGTTTTTAAGATATTATACTTTAAAAATATTTATAAAAAAAAATTAATTTTTTACCACCTCCAGGTGCATATGTCCCCTTAAGAACAGATTGTGTTTAAAGAAGTACGTCTAATTTCTTTTTTTAGATCTATAATGCTATATTGAATGAGAATTATTAGTAAATTGAGTTGAACTTATATTGTAACTTTTCATTCTGTTCTTAAAAAGAAATAGATAAACAATGTGCATGAAGTTTAAGTGAAAAAGATAGAAGTTGTCAACTTTAAACAAATTTTTATAATTATCGAAAGGTTCTGGAAGAGATAATTTAAAAATATAAATACTTTATGGCTATTCATATTATGATTATAAATAATAAATGTTTGAAAATGTATAATAAGAGTTACAAATCTATATAATATTATTGGAAAGATAGAAAAAAAAAGTATATATATGATGTTTATTTAAAACATGTATAAAACTCGAAACCCCACTCTAAATAAATGTTGCTTTAATTTAAAATATTTATATTGTATATTATTTATTAATAATCACTAAATTCGATTTTGAAAAGCAAGTGCTCTGGCTATTTTTTTATGCCAGTCGTCGCTGAATCGCAAAATTATTTTTTCCAAAAGAATAGGAAACGGAGAAGTTAACTTAAAAAACAGTTAAATTAAAAAATTTCTTTTTTTTCTCGAAAGAATAAATATATTATTGAAAAGTATATATTTAGTATTTCATTAATTTTTTTAAAATCAAGTTTCTATATAATACTTATGCAATATAAAAGTAAAATATTTGTAGGATGTTTTGTTTAGTTTATAGAAAAGTTTTGTTCAATTAGTGTGCGGACTTTGTAAAAGAATATGAATCAATTTTAAATCAGTTATGTTAAGTATGAAAATGTTTTGTACGAGTGAGGAGAGGAAAGAGAATGAGAGAGAGAGAGAGAGAGAGAGAGAGAGAGAGAGAGAGAGAGAGTGAGAGACTGACAATGTTTTATTGAAAACATTTTGTCGTGTTTAGAATACAAATAAAAAATATAAAAAATTATATCCTGAACAAGTACTTTATTTCCTAACTAGCATCCTTCATTATTCACAGTATATGTATATCACAGTATATGTTTTTGTCTAGTTATTACACTTATAATATGTTTCTATATAATATTATATCTGTTTATATTTTCTTATTAAAATATCAAATATTCTAGTTCTGTAGCAAAATGCATAATTTGCTACAGCTGTTACAGTAATAGTTACTATAATAATAGCTATTATTCGTAACGGCTTATCGCAAAGAATATAGAAGTATAATAAGCGTAATTGCAAAAAATTCTCGCATTATTTATTGTATTGGTAGTTGCTATGCGAGAATAAAAAGCTTAAACTTAATTAATTTATTCAATCATTAAAAAAAACTTCATTATCATAAGACAATACAAGTTATAGTCTAGTAGTTTATATTTACTATGAAAATATACAAGTTATATAGTTTTTATTTATATTATACTATGAAATGGTTAATATGTTGTGTTCTAACAGGATTTGTTCGAACGTTTAGTTGGAAATATGACGAGTTTTTTCTTATAATCTTCTACTTTCGTTATATAATGATATTTATTTGGCTTATATTGCTGATAATCATCGTTTATGTATTCCAAATGAACGTATTTTGCTTTTTTGGAAATAGGTCCAACAATATGTAAACTCAATTTTCTAAAATTACTTTCGTTCGATATGTGGTCTGCAAACCATTCCCTCAGTTTATTAACATTTATTTTTTTTAGAGCAAGTATTTCCTGTTCGTGAAAATCAAATATGTAAGTTTGCTTCACAATCACTTTCCAGTTTCGTTCAACCTCGTGTTCAAGATTGGCATTGTCATGTGATCTAAGTTTTACGAACATTTTTTTGTAAACATCCAATTCCTCTTCTGTGAGCATTTCCAAATAGTTTTTAAACCATCTCAAAAAATGGTCGATCTTCTTATCAACGTATTCGGTTGTATATGTATCTTCGTTAATGCAAATATTAATAGTATATCCTAGAATTCCGTTAACGTCTTTAATGGCGACTGTGGTATATGTAAATTTATCAGTGTGTAGATGCTCGCGTGACTTAAATTCCATTATATACTGAAAACAAGTGCAAGTGAATGTGATGTGCAAGTAAAATTAATAGTGATAATCTAATATCTTATTCGTATTTCATTAACTTTTAGAAATAAATAAATATACATCAAAGATTCCATGCATTCAAAGTATACAAAACAATATGTATATATTATTTAAGGGGATTCTTAAGTTGCCTATATCACGGACTAAGCGCAATAATTTTTGTATAACTTTTTTTTTACAGATTTAAAAATCCTTTTCCAGGATTAGTTAGAAAGTATACGCATTAATACGTGTTTGTGAGATATAATTTATGCCGAAAAAAATTATTTAAATTGAGATCTCCTTTATCATTTTCTACTCCAATATGACGTTATCAATATCGAAACAATGTTTGCTTGATATAAAAGCTTTGCAATCTGTACTTACAAAATTGTGGTCTACTGACTATAATTTATATAAACAAAGTTCTTTTTATATAAACATAATTTATATAAACAAAATTCTTAGAATTTAATTCTTTTAAAATTCTAATTAAAATGTTATTATTCTAAGAAAATTTATGTATGCATCAATATATGTGTGTGTGAAATATTGATACAGTAGTATATAAAGATGTATTGATGCGCCGCATTTTTTCGCAGTAAATAGCGATCTCATCGGAGTTCACGTTTCATTTTAGGATTATCTTAATACTTACAATTATCAGATGAATTAATGTCGATAATTCAATCGTGTTGATGCCGGTTTGATAATAATTTGATACCATGGAAATTGTATCTACTTTGTTGATATTTTTAATTTTATAATAGCTTGTGCCTAAGGGTATCTGAGTGCTTCTAAGCTGTATGGTATCTGAGTGTAAAGGTCTACAATTAATTGTTTTAATATATTGCTGTAAGGTCTTGATTGCAACAGTTGACGTCATGTTTCCTTGCACGAGACATTGAATGTATAGACGTTCGGTAAAGGATTTCACAAAGTCTTGAAAGTTTTCCAAAGTGATATCCTGTAGAGCAGTATGCATATCAATTAGTGAATGATGGACGAAGTTCTGTATCGACGATGCCACGTCGCTGAAAGTAAGAGTAAAGATATTATTGATTAGCAGAAATGTAACGCGATATAATTTATTTTATGATATCAATTGTTACAATTAATACGTTAATCATTTATTTTAGTCATGTAAAAATTTTGTAATTGTTGTAATAATGCTTGATATAATAAACAGTCAGTACCTGATGAAATACTCAGGTATGTAAATTAATTCGTAATATTTCTGAATTCGTTCAATTTTGGCACTTTCGAATATGTCTTTCATAATTAAGTTTGAATATTCTACCATGTTATGTGCAAAAAGAGCCGCTAAAAGCTGTAGTATAAATATAATGATATGTCTCAAAATTGTATTTATAACTCCAAAGCACATTTTGAACGTATACTTACTGGCAGAGTTTCATTGAGACCATTTATTTTTAGTGTAAAACCATTTGTTTTGACACTGATATCATATTTAAAACCAACCTGTAGAGCTGGATATAATTCATCGGCTAA